CAATTTACGAGTAAGCCATCACAAATAGGTGCGTTGATAATGATTATGACTATCGGGGAATCTTTCAGATCAAATGAAGAAAAAACTTATTTTCTCTTTTTGGAACATTACCATTTTATGCTCCCAGATGCTTGTGTTCTTCCAAACTGAACTGAATATTTGACACCACGTACTTGTCATAGCGCCGATTGGAGTCAAATGCTTCAAACCTATCTTTGTAGTAAACCGCTCATTCAATATATATCTTTATTATTTTCGAGACTAAAAGAGGCGAATGTTAGTGTGATAATGCTTCTTATTTACTCTACTCAGGTACGCAGTTCTCGTGAGATGCTGGATGAGTGTGCTCAACTTCTCGCCATCTTGATTAATCCGTCGGCCCCTCGTTCAGCTGTACTAGCGACTACCACGGAGTCTGATTCTCTGACCAGTAGTAGCGACCGCTCTTCCGATGCTCGTTCTTGCTCCAAGTCACCGACAACCACGCCAAAGATGCCTTCTGCCCATTTCTCTTCTCTTTCACTCTCCTCTTCCCCAGCCCCTACCGTTGTTGATGCCGGCTTAAATTCTTTTTCATCAATCTCTACCCACGTGACTGATTCCCCCCAGTTGCAGGCGGACCCGTCTAAAGCATCCAACGCCATTTCAATCAACTCAGAAGTACAATCTAATTGTTCTGACGTGAACACTGGCGCATCAAAAGTGCACAAGTCAAACTCATCAAAAACGGGGAGTCTGATGTCATTTGTCGACACTATTCGTACTGAATTTGTTGAGCGATCTGCTAAAAACGTAGACAGCAATGGCTCCTCTGATTGGCATTGGCGTTCTGATCAAAAAAGGACTGAAAAAATGGCATCTTGGGATAGCCCATTGGTGGCCAATGGTATGGAAATATTACAATTTTTCTATCCTAGTGACCTAATGCATTTTCGCTTATGCTTTCCTGAATTGATGGATGCATTTTTAGGCACATCAAAACATTTACACTGGAAATATGCTTTTGACTTTGAAAGTAACTAGACCTAATGGAGAATTTAATTAGACATTTAAATGTTATTTTTTCATGTTACGCATGCAAACATTCGCATTACCACAAATGGGTCTGGGGCTG